CATTCCCGCACCGGCATTCAAACCCCGTTAACCCTACACGCTTCCTGCAAGCCATGCACCTGCTCGGACCACTTTCTTGGACCTTCTTGCCCTTGCCATTATTGTCCAGCAGCAAAGGATTATTGGGAGATGCCAGGGTCGGTCCCGCCGAGGTGGTCTCAGCAAGTGGGGTGACACTTGTCATTGCCTTGTCAGTCGGGATAGAATCGCTACCATTTATTATGCTTTCGAGTGAAGAGGCGACAAGTTTGGCTTGATCTTGTTTGATGACAGAGTCCTTGTAGCACTTTGAACACATGTTCGAGGTCGCCGGGGTTCCAAAGAATCCACAGTTGTTGACACATGGTGTGGGAGCCTGAGGTGCTTCGCACCCTGCACCGTTTTGTTCCATCTTCTGTTTTTCTGATATCAGAGTGCCAAACAGGTGTTAATGAAGTCGTATAAAGTAAACCATAGATTTTTAACCACATTGTTTATAGTTGTCTGATATCAGAGTGCCAAACAGGTGTTAATGAAGTCGTATAAAGTAAACCATAGATTTTTAACCACATTGTTTATAGTTGAAAGCTATATGCCCATATTGCAATTGCAGAAAAATCCTAAGAATGTTTTCACTTAGACTTATTTCAGTCCGACTTAAATAGACCAAACAAGGTTTTAACAGAGGAGACCATACTTTGACAGTTGTAAAATACACAGACCAAACGTCTACCAAAGCAGACAAGTTCGAACCAGACCGGACGTAAGCCGACCAGACCGGACAATTTCAGTCCAAGTAAAAACATCTTAAATCAGTCAAATACAATTTCCATAAGATAACCAATTCCTGGTTAACCATGGAACTTGAATCAAACATTAAACATATATCCCACTCTTGAGAGTATGAGGACGAGGGTTGACCCCATCTGGTTCTAGTTCATGAAAAGGGTGGAACCGTAAACGGGTATATCTGGTCAGGTTTACACGGGCAGCTGCAGTCTTAATTAGGGAGGAACTCTCAAGCCAAAAACGGTTGATCTTGGTCTGGTACCGGACTCACAGGGGAAGGGGGTAAAATATGTAAACATAAAAACAAATGACAATCAGCACATTAACTTTGTGTTCCTTCTCAGTTTGAATTGACTTCTTATTTGTTTTAGACACCTACTACTAGTCCCCTGGGAACATAATGGTTTAACAACTGTGCCATTTTTTACAAATAACCCAATCTTATGGTGATCAAAGCTAGATTTCTTGACGAAGGGGAAAATTTAATCAATTGATATGTTTAAGGAATGTGCATTAACATATGGATATCATTTCATCCTATAGGTTGGTATTGTATTACAAAGCACATCTGTGGACAAACTTTTATACTGCCCACAAAGCATGAGCTTTGCACAGCAGTATTTTTATAGGAAAATAGCTATACAAACCAAACAAGATAAAAAATGAACACACATGAGAAACCAAAACTGAATGACAATAACCAAGTAATAAACAAAACAAAAACAAATGTTTAGCCTTCAGGTATTCATAATACAAATTAGAAAACTAAACCGATGGAAAATCACAAATTGGTAATCTAATCACAAAATAAAGCCCGCTAAAATCCTGACCGAACTTTCAGGCCTTGTTTGGTTTGGGGATTTCGGAGAGAAGGGGCAGACACATATCATTATATCTTGATGAAAATGGTGTTACATTCTTCTAACAGGATAGTACCCATTGAAACATTCAAATAAAATACATACAGAATTCAATACGAATAAACATGCCTGTATGACTGTATGTATGTGAATATGATCTGTTTCAGATAAAGCACATGAATATATCAACAAAGAGGCTAAATAAACACTGAATATATGTAATACAACTATATAAGACATAAACCTAAGCACCCGCCTCCCAGCCTGAAATATATAAATAGATAAACTTTCCGCCATGAAATTCATTGAGATACACATATCACATAACAGGAAGCATAAACAATTATCAACCAAATCATTATAATAAGTGTTCATAAATTCATATATGTATATATCTGTGTGTGTATTCATCATCGTCAACAACAACAATTCGAAAGCTGACAAGTTTCATTACGCCGGTCCAGTAAAATACTACAATAAACTGCAAATTCAGTTTCATCTACAAATACCAGACTCACCTTGTTCAGGGACGAGATGAAAGATGCTAGCTTTTTAGTATTTCCCTCCTGCCCCTTCAAGAAATTTTGAAATTTTGTTCAAAAATAAATAAATTAAATTAAATCGAGTTCAACAGACAGATGTATACTAGTTACAGATATACACCATATAGACGGAGAAATTAGAAAGATGAAAAAGAACAATCTTAATCTTAACCTGTGAGCGAACAGGAAGGGATCCGGGAGAGATCTACACGAAAAGAAACGGGAGAGAGAATTGAAGGTTTTTTGCGTGCATATAAGGATATATAAATAAATACCAGGCTTCGTATTTCGATAAAAGTTTATGATTCTCGTCGTTCCAGATGTCTCTTTTTAAAAATCCGGCACCTCGACCTTCTCAAATAATCCTTTTTACTCCTTCGCTTAATCCATGACTAATTTTAGTCGGTACAAGAATTAAATAATAAACATTGTATATTCAGAAATTGTGTAGAGAAAGGGATAAATTTTATGAGTTTTATGAAAGTATGTTTTAATTGGATTAGTTTCAACAAGATGTAAACATGCTAGATCAAATTAGTTATATTAGAATTCCAAAGTAGAATACAAATAGAAAAGACGTCTATCAAATCAGATCAGATCAAATTTAAACTGATCCGATCAAATCATAAACTTTCATTTCCACTAAAAACATCATAACTCATATTTAACTTAACCCCATTTTAATTCATACTAGCTTTGTCCCATTTTATTCGTCTTACTTTCATTTGACACAATAATTTACTCCCTCCATCTCATTTATATTGTCCCGTTTTACCTTTTTGGGAAGTCCCACTTAAATTGTCTCATAACATATTTGGCAAAGTTTGTGTGACTCTAAATCATTCTTACTTTATTCTTATTTTATCAATTAATATCAATCACACAAACTCACTTTTGTTAATAACCGTGCCACCCTCTTCCGTCCCAATATAAATGAGACGGAGGTAGTATAAAAATTAAAATTATGGTTGAGATTTGAATATAATCAAGTGAAATGTCGTGGACAACATATTTTTCTCCAAAAAAGAAATTGTAACGCTTATTTTAGGACAACTCAAATGAAAGTAAGACAAGTAAAATGAGACGGGTGAGTATAATTTAACCTTTTAAAGACCCCAAAATTGTACATAGTATTAGAATATTGTTATGAACTACGAAAAATAGATGAGAGTAGCACCTATTCAAGATAAAATGAGAGAATCTTAATTGTGGTGCTTTGATCGTGTGTGTCGAATATCGAGTGATGTAGAGGGAGAGTAGAACTCAAACAAACGTGAATTGGAATATTATTACTTTTGGAGTATTATTATTTTTGGATTATAGGAGATTTAGGGAGTGTTTGCAATTGCTTCTGCTTAAAAAAATACTTTTGGAGATGTAAGCAAGAAGTGATTATTAGTAAAAGTTGATAGTGTTTGAGAAAAAAATGATTTTGAAAAGTAAAAGTTGGTAGTGTTTGGTAAAATAAGTGCTTTTTGTGTAATAAAAAAGGGGAAAATATTTTTCACATGCTAGCTGAGAAAAAGTAAAAATTAGTAATGTTTAGTAAGTAAGTGTTTTTTTAAGTCAAAAGATGAGAAATGTTTTTTTTAAGTTGTTGCAAAGATTCCCTTAGTATAACTTTAAAGAGAGCAACGTAAAAAAATCACGGCTCAATCCATACATGTTATCACACTACATATTCTTTTGAAATTGAGACTTTATGCTATAAATATCAACGGATTGATACTAGCAGATTATATTAGACTAATAATCATTAATATAGTTTTTCTCAAAAAAGTTTTTCCAAAAAGTCAAAAGATTATATCAGGACGAACTCTCAAAAAGTTATTTTTCTCAATAATCATTAATATGGGGGAAACTGCCGAATAGGTCCTCGAACTTTCATAAAAAGGTCAATTAAGTCCTTCTATAGGAGGTTATGTCCGACCGTCGCGATTTGGGGCAATTCCCGGTGTAATTTTTTGATGAAATTTTTTGAGCATCTTATTCACCAAGTCTAGTATACTTTTACCTAATTTCAGCTAAAAATTCAATCGGGAACACATTCAAATTAATTCTTGAAGATAACTGTGCATTTTTGCGTTCTCGAATTAATTTGAATGCTCTCCCGATTAAATTTTTAGCTGAAATTTGATATGAGTAAACTAGACTTGATGAATAAGATACTCAAAAAAATTATTAAAAAGTTCCACCGGGAACCGCCCCAAATCGCAACGACCGGACAAAATCTCCTATAGAAGGACTTAATTGACTTATTTATGAAAGTTCGAGGACCTATTTGACAGTTTTCCCTTAATACGGAGTAGATAAGTTTTTTAACGCATAGGCTTGTTTCGAATTTGGGTGGGTGCGCTAACTGCCAATACGACCCCCCAAGTACACCATTAATATCGCTAGATTGACATTTTGCAATACAAAAAAAAAAGGATGATACCCCATCCCTGAGGGGCCCCCAACACCGACCGGACGGCACAATGGGAGCTGCCAATACGACCCCCCAAGTACACCATTAATATCGCTAGATTGACATTTTGCAATACAAAAAAAAGGATGATACCCCATCCCTGAGGGGCCCCAACACCGACCGGACGGCACAATGGGAGGATGTAAATTGGACTATAATCACAATCTGACAGATAGAGAGTGGGGCTCTGTTCCCGGTACTTGCAGAAGCCCTATGCATTTTTCAGTTGTCGGGATTCGAACCCGAGACCTAACCCTTCTGACACTCCCTCGCTACCAAACATTTTGCAATACAAAAATATGGAAGGATGCCTTTACTGGTAAGCAAAAAACTGCGACAGCAAATCAGAGTTTTTCGGGTGATGTACAGGCAGTACAGCAATAAGTGTCACAATGAGCTAATTTTATTGAGTTTGCACAACGAATAGAATCATGAAATGAATGAATACGTTTTAAATAATAAACTAAATGAGGTAAAATTTCAATGACAATGATCAGCAGAGACAAAAAAACAAGCTTTTACTCTACTTTTTTAAATAATCAACCAATCCACCGGCTATTACAAGAAAATAAATTAGCAATTGGTTAAAAAATTATGGTTGGTAAACCAAATAATAAATGTCCCCAACGGGCAAAATATTGTACTGAATAACCAATTTAAGGTAAGAGCTTTATAAACCCCCAATGTACAGCCGTAAAAATGCAAAGGTTTCCCTCAATCTTGTCATCTTGAACCAGAGACAAAAATGGTATATTTCTTCAAGTGGAATGTTTACTCAGTAGTAACACTCTTGGCGAGATTCCGAGGTTGGTCAACATTGTATCCGCGAAGAACCGTAAGATGATATGCCAATAGCTGTCATAAGAACAAATTATTAGTTCTCTTTTCTCAATATCCCCACTCACCCTGAAAGGAGAATAGCAATTCATTCATTTACCTGCAGCGGGACTACGTTAATTACTGGCTGCAAACAGTCCTCAACTTGAGGAACCTCAATGACACGGCATGATCCGCTAACACGAACAGATGATGCATCTCCTTTTGTACACATCACTATTAATCTACCTTTCCGGGCATGGAGTTGCTGAATCACTGATTGTTGTTTGCTGTATTGAAATGTTGAATATATTAATATATAGAAGTGTACAAAATATAGAGCTCGTCTCGTAACCTCACCTTTTGTCTTATCGGTTTAACTTTTCACCGAGCATTAATTTATTCAACTGTGCTTGCTGAATAATAATGAAGGGGGGAAGTAGTGCAAGAGGTATTAATTTGGCTGAGATAGTTAAATATAACATTTCAGCCTTCATATTTCTATACCATTTTCATAATTAATTTAGGAAATACTTCGTGTATTTTAGATATTAAGCTATTTCAGCCACAAGTTAAGAAATTAAACAGATTCATCCATTTAAGGCCTTACCAAACAAGCTCTTAGTGACTTCAGGTTTATAAACCTTAGAGTAGTTGCCCAGCATTCTAATTGGGTTTAGAAAGACTTTCTTTGTATGGTTTGTATCCATGAGAGTCATGTTTTTGTATTGCACAACGGAGAATAGACAAACCTGAAACAACTGTCATGAGTGGCGATAACTAAAATAGGGAGATTTTCATCAACCAAAGCTAAGGGACCATGCTTCATTTCACCAGCAAGGATTCCTTCACTATGCATAAGAGACACTTCCTTGACCTTCAATGCACCTTCAAGTGCTGTTGCATAGTTGTAGCCTCGTCCAAAAACAAGCAGTGATTGCTCCGCTATCAACAGCTCAGCGAGATCTCTCATTTCCTCATCAAGCTTCAGAACCTCTTTTACTTTTGCTGCAATTAGAGATGGGAAGACACACAGACAAAAAGGTACCTCTTAAGAATGTCTTGGTTTCTTAAATACATTAAATGCACAAGCTTTTTATGTTAAAAAGGGACAACAAAGAAGACAGATATACATACCAGGCAAGTCAAATAGACCGTCAATTATTGCTTCTCTTCTTGCTTGATTAGAAAGTGTGTCACCTCCTATTGCAAGTGCCAGCATAGCCATAACTACAATTTGGCTAGTGTATGCCTGCAAATCACAACGACAAATGATGTAATTGAAATTCATAGAGTAAAATCCTCTGCTGTCGTTCAATTAGCACAACTCATTCCAGAGGAATCATCAAGAGGTAACCTCACACTTATAAACTAAAACTCAAATTCATTATACAATTGATTCAGGATACAAGACACTCCCTCCACTTTATAGGGTATCAAAGGGACGGATGCCCTGCAAACCATCTTTGGACCAAGCTCCTGTCTTAAACTAAATTAGACCTAACAAACCCAAAAGGATTACCAAGAAACATGTTTAGCTCACACTTGAATAGTAGACTCAACCTAGGATACTACCTAATGAGGCTTGAACAAGGGTAAGCAAAGCAACACATAAGCATCAGAGGGGACTGATTAAGATAAAAGTCATAAAACGCTGGCAACCAAAGGAAGCTTAGCACCGGGACTAGTGTAAGCAAAGCAATACATAGGCATCAGATGGGACTGATTCAAATAAAAGTCATAAAATGTTGGCAGCCAAAGCAAGCTTAGCACTGGGACTAGGTGGGAAATTATAGAACAGGGGTAAAAGTTAAGCAGGAGGGCAAAGTTATATATACCTTAGTACTTGCCACGCCGATCTCACAGCCAGCATTTATATGCACACCACAGTGAGTTTTCCTGGCAATTGCACTACTAACAGTATTTGTAATACCAACACATAATGCACCATTTCCGAGGGCATAGTCTAGTGCTTGCAAAGTATCAGAAGTTTCTCCAGACTGACTAACAAAGACAGCAGTATCTTCCCTGTATATCGGCCCTTGCCTGTCAACCAGATCGCTTGCAATCTCCATTGTGACGGGAATGCCTGGAAGACAAAACATGACTCATAAACAAAAGAAAATGCCAAATACAATTCTTCGTAAGAGTTACAATGGACCTAAACTCACCTCAAAACAGGTGAGATGTACCACACCCTTACATAGTGGAGTCATACCCAATAGATATATGATGTGGGAAACTCAATAATAAGTAAGACTAGCCAACAACTAACCAGAAAGTTCTTCTACAATCGACCTTGCAGCTAAAGCTGCATTATAACTCGTGCCACAACCAATGAAAACAATCCTTCTGCTTCTCCTTATCGTTCTAAGGTGATCCTTCAAGCCCCCTAACAGTACAGATCTGGCTTTACTTGATCCTCCCCGTATAAGCCTCCCTCTCATTGTGGTTGTCAAAGAATCTGGCTGCTCATGAATTTCTTTTTGCATATAATGCTCATATTTTCCTTTATTTACTTGCTCCACTTCCATCTGAAGAATGGACAAGGCACGTTGAACAGAGCCAGATCGAGCTAGAGTATTACCATGTTTTTTTGTCCCGTCAAACTTGTAGATTGAAGCACCTCCATCCTGAATAAGACCACGTCAAAAGTCAAGGAAATAATATTGGTAACAAGAACATTGAAGGTCCTAAGCGAATGTAAGACTAGAGAAATACAAACAATACTCCATATTGTCTGTAAAGGCTATGCATATTTTGAAAACCATTATTGAGAATTTTGAAAAAAACATAAAATATGTCTATGTAAATTTATAACTCCAGTCCATACTATTTATCTCCGAGAGGAAAATAAACAGTCATTGACACTAGAAAATTGCACCTAACAACTCAACAACTCTTTACATCAGGGACATGCTACACAGTTCTTTTTCTCTACATATGTACTGTGTCCATACAATTTCAAAACCCACTTAGGCTTTTCTCATATTAGCCCATGCATGTTCCCCAAAAACTCCAAGCACAAACTGTGCTGAAAGTAAGCCAATTATACAAAAAGTGTCAACTGCTTCGTTGGACTACCTTAAACCAGCAACGTTACCACATGAATTAGCAGCTTAACAGCTCAACTTTGGTTAAAGATTGATATGATATTGAAGTACTAAAGACAGTACACCTTGATATGAATGACTTCATCATCCTCAATTACCAAGACCTTCTTCGTGTGTTCAACTAGAGCATTGGCATCACTCGAAAAGAATAACTCTTTTGGTTGCCCATTGTTTGAGAGAACTTTAGGATCACTAAATGATGCTCCACTGGCAGCCTCTTCTCCCAAGTCCTTAGATTATGCACATATGGTATTCATGAAAAAAATTAGCACCTTCATAGAAATATAAAAATGTGTGTGTGTGAAACCCAGCCCTTGGACTTGATAAAAGTGGGAAACACAAGTTTCTGTGTTTCCCAGACTTCACCAGACAACTAGTGTCAAAATCATGGATTTATTGACAAGGCAAAAGAAAAGTGCAACATAGGTCCTATGGCAGTACTTTCCTACATAAGACCAGAACCTGTACTCAAAGCAAGAACTTAAGAAAGACATAATTTACTTTTGCACCAAGAAGAAGTGGGCTGCCACGCTTGCATGCGACCAATTCATTAGGGTAATGCGGACTTTTGAATATGAGGGCATAAGCTCCTTCTAGATGTCTCATTACTTCAAGCACAACTTGACTGAATGTCACACTTTCATCACCTGTAGAAAAGATAGACAGCTCTTATTCAGCTGTTCCACTTAAGATCACTTGCGATTATTATAGTTCTTTATTAAACATCAAAAGTAGAACATAAATAAAAATTACAGTAGGTATAATCAGGCAATAGTATTTTATGGGGTACCAACCTTCTTCATTGGCTTTATCAAATACATACTTTGCAAGCTTAGGAATCACTTCTGTATCTGTTTCCGATTCAAAGGTGAAATCATGTCGGATCAAAGTCTCTTTCAATGCCTGCAGAATAAAGAGGCAGAAGAGAGCATAAGTGCATATAAAGTAGATTATCAAAAACTGTGTGTCTGCATGCAAGATTATGGCATTGCCACATACCAATGCAGATAACGATGGAATATTATATTCACATCGGTTTAGACTAAAAGCTAATTACAAACATTCACTTGGGACTATGAATATCTTATTCAAGAGGGGGGAAACAGAAACCTCATAGTTGGTGATGACACCATTGTGAACAACCAAGAAATCATTTCCAGGACCAGAGGATTGAGGGTGGCTATTTTTAGAGGCTGGCTCCCCGTGTGTTGCCCAACGAGTATGCGCTATTCCAGCGTGAACCGAAAATGATTCTCCCAAATTTAGATCTGTAGCTGCCACATCTGAAAACAAAAAATAGCCATTAATGCAATACACATATATGCAATAAAATGTCAACTCTTTAATCCCAAAGAGTCGCAGCAATAACTGAAGACAAAAAGGGTAATTCAAAAGGAATATTTTCTTAGCAAGAAAGCATTACCACGGTAGACGGATTTGACCAGTGATTCAATATTACCCTCCTGCCGGAAGACGAGAGGAGCAGAGGCAGAAGTGGAATCTGCATCGATGGAAATTCCGGCAGAATCGTAGCCGCGATACTCCAAGCGCCTAAGGCCATTGAAGAGAACTTCAAGAATGTGGCCCCTCTCCTTGCTAACATTGTAATTCAGGTAAGCGAAAATTCCACACATCGTCTCTCTCGCACAATTCCCCTGCCTAAAAGGTGATCTGATATGGAAGATTTAGCCCAATTTGAACAGCGGAGATAAATCAGCATATGCAATAGTGCAATACATAATGCAGCGGAACAAAAACACTCAGATACAAACCCACACTTTCCGTTGGTCGAAACAAAAACAGCAATTGGAGCAGAAATGCGACGAACCCACACTCAGATACAAACCCACATAGATGGCGTTATAAGGTCGCATTTGAACGGATCGGGCAAGCTCTCGACCGATGCATCGATCGGTCCGACCCACTTTTCATTACAATCTATGAAAGTGAAACTGGAAAATTAGCTCTAAAAGTTTGAGCTCTGACTTTTCGGATTGGGAGTTTTTGGATTCAACAGAGCACTGAATGATGCAATACGGGTGATATGTTAATATCTGATTGGCCATGGCAGCTTTATTTTGCAATTTCTAGGCTTTTTTCTTATTCTTAGTTACTTTTAAGAGAGAAAGTTAGAAGCAGGAAAGACTTGAGATGAAACAAGAGCTTATTCTTTGACTGAAAATTGTGGAAATACTGCGCACTACGTAGATTGTTAAAGCTAGGCCCCACAGTAAACGGCCAAATATTGATCAAGAAATTTTGACTAGTTTGATGTCCCTTTCAGTTTTCTGATTTTGTTTTATACATTTGCAAAAGTTATACGAAGATTTATTGATCTATGTTCTACCTAGAGAAAACTGAGATTTCTCTACGTCGATTTTATGGTAGCTTGTAAGTTGCTGGGAGCAGCTATGTTCAAAGATTTGAACGAGAAGGCAATCCCCAGAGAAGGCAGTCCTTTAACACAAACACATCTGAATGTTAAGGAGCATTTAAATGGAGCTAAACGAATAAGTCACAAATTGATCGAGCCAATCAGTCACAGTTAAAAAATAAATCGTAAATAAACAACACTACATAATTGAATGATTAAGTCACCTTTTCTATTCAGTCTGTTAAGTAGAAAGTAAACAGACCTTTACTTTTGCTAATACCCTAATATTGATAGTTCTTTGAAGAAACTACATGTTGATAGTTTTTTCTCAAACTCATGACTCAAGTTATAGATCCTTTTTTATATTATTGTCATCATAATTTTCATGTTTTTCATCCCACTCATTACAGAGTTAAGAGCTCGTTCATACTGAGTCATTACCGTCAGAAGCATATTTAGTATTGACATTAAATCGAAGTCAAAATTTAATAAGAATAAAATAATGAATTGCAATAAAAAATTAAAGAAAAAAATTAATATTATAAAAAAATAACAAATTTATAATAGTACGACATGTGTTGACGCTCGACTAGATCTCCTTCTACGAGCTTACCAAACAGGGTTTATCATGGACAAGTTACCAATACATTTCTAGTAAGAGTTTGTCCTTATGAATGTGTGATCAAATTAGAAGGTGCGTATTGACATCTCCTAGAAGAAGGTTCATTAGGAGCTAAAAGAGTCTTCTGCTCGTGTGTTTGGTCACTGATTCATGTGTTTTACCTGATACTTTTATTTGAGTAACATTTAAAAGAAAAAAACTCTACAAACAATTGTTTTCGCGGCTAACAATTTTATGTTGAATTTGTTTAATTCCTCAATCTATTATTTAAGAGAAAATCTACAAATCATTGTTTTCACGACTAACAATTCTATGTTGAATTTGTTTGATCCCTTCATCTATTGTTTAAGTAACATTTGAGGAAAAAATTTACAAACCATTGTTTTTGCTGCTCACAATTCTATGTTGAATTTGTTTTGTGACTATCGAAAGTTTTGTGACCATCGATTTTCAAGATTAATGGGTGCTTTTTCTTCCTCCAATGAACTTATGATTTATTTATCTTCCATCTAAATTAGGCGGTGAAAACTGAAAACTACAAAAGCTGGCAAGCTTTTCAGTGATACAGCAAGTAGAAGTAGAACTGTAGAACATATGACGAACTCAATAATTAGATTTAAAAACTGTTACCAATAAAATTTAAATACAATTCTCCATTTCACAATCTTTTTTAAACACATATACATATTCTGATATTCATACACCTTTCCTCAACTCTTCTCATGCAATTTAATGTACACCTTTGTTTACTGCATTGTCTGCATATCATTGCTTCTGATTCTAGCTATTCCCTAGAGTCTAAATATGTCGCTATCAATTTGCTTATTGTTGAGAAGTGGCATACCGAGAAGGGAGGTAGGAAAAAGGTAATTGGGTTTATCATTAAGGTACAAGGTAACAAAGGATCTGAAGTCCTGAAAATAATTCTCAATTACAGATACATTAACGAGTACAAAACATACAAAATATGACCAATAATAATAATAATTTGATATTCAAATAAGCTTAAAGCTTATATTCCTAGTTGTAGTATATTCATTTGACGCCTTGCGCACAAATCACCCTCCATTTACCCTTTTAGTCTCAAGCATGCTTTCCTTCAGTAGCATGCCCAGAGCAACACCCACCACCGTGATGGTGGTGGCCGTGGTCATGATGTTTCTTACCCTTGAGCTGCTTCCGCATATCATAAGCATCTTCACCGTCTGCGTAGTACTTTGCTTCAACATCATGGATCTTGTATTCTAATGTCTCTGTGTACAGCTTGAATGCAGCCCTGTTACTTTTCCTTACATGTAGTGAAACATATTCTGCACCAAACACCTATTTGATATGTATATACTGATCAGTATAATAGTTAGCCAAAGATGCAATTATAACAATGTGTTGCATGTCTGCACTGCAAATACTCGGATGCTATGATAGGAACACTGCAAATGGTAAGGAAATGAAAAACATATGCCTATGAAAAATACTACCTGTTCTTAAACACTTGCTTTGACCTTGAAAATATCTACGAAAATTTAAATTGATTAGAGTTTTACAGGACTCTACAATTATAAAGCTTTGGTCTTTATATATTACGGAGAAGAAAATTTTATGTTTTAAATAAAATGACTTCGCAGAAATGCACAAAATTGGTTTATAGAGTTTGAACCATTTTTAAATTCCTCTGTTTTCCTTTTGTTTTGTTTTCCAAGCATTTTCTGGGTTCCAAAAGGACCCTTTTACTACTGGTGTTCTTTGACAGATTTTACATGTGCGAATAAACGTATGAAGCACTGCAAATATTGGGATAGGGTGCACCTTTGTTTCAGAAAACTTCACAAAAACTCTTTAGAAACTTCCCAAACACTTGTTTTTTCTATTAAAAGGTTGTGTTTTCTGCTTCACGTTTCCCCAAGGTTGCAATTTTTTCATGGCATCGTGCAACATAAAAATAAACCTTTACACTTTATCCCTGACATAAATCATCATCATTACCCCAGTGCCGCAAAGGCTCCCACCTACAGTGGGGTAAGGGGGGGTCGTATGTACGCAGTTTTACCCCTGTACTAAAGCACAGAGAGACTGTTTCCGGATGACCCATGGTGAAAATCGCGTTGGAAATTGCATGAGTTGACTGCTACTTCATAACAAAGAAGCGCAGACAGTTTAGTGAGTCATTTTACTTTATTCCATCATATTCACAAGCAGGGTTTTAGCCTAAGCCTATCCAATCCCTCCATCACTAAGACTTGTATTCATCCAAAGTGTTTACTGGCATAGTGGCATCCAATCCATCAATCTGTTTAAAGTTTAAACATATACTATTATTCGTATCTGCCAAAAACTAAACTGGCTCACTCACCGAATACGAACACAGTGATACTCTGCAAGCTTAAACTTGAATTCAGTTGAGACCAAAGCATTTTATGCCCCTATATTTTTTTCCAGTACCACAATTCATACCTTCATACCACCTAGGTTTTCTTATTTGAAGCATGAGCCTTGTAATTGAGATGTTTGGTGGTAAACTATAGAGATAAGAAAATACAATATGTTTAATAAATAGAAAGAAACAAAAAACAGTAAGAGTTTCAAAGCAAGCTCTTTAAGAGTCGTGGAAGAACCATTCAGCACGATATTCTAGCACCTCTGCAAAGTTGATAAATTTTTCGAAACATTCCTTTCCCTCTCCCAAAATGATGGCCTAATTTGATCTGTAACCCACTAAAACCAATAGTGAATTTAAAAGTATCACCATCTAGCCACCAGTTACAGTGTGACAAATTGCACCCCTACCCGCCCGACTCATGGGACATTGGGACCTATCAGGTTTCGAGCCAAACTTTGGTTTTATTCTTACCACGAGGCTTAAAAGTTAAATCCATATTGTAGACTGTGATATGAGCTAGTATAATGCCAGTGACTAAGATATGGGTTTAGGCAAGAGCAATGAAGTAAAGTTTTGTTATGGGCAAACATAACAATGCCCTTTTGCCCTTTTGGTAAGGGTAAACTTTGGTTGAATCGATGAATATAGCAAAAGACATTAGGATCCTCAAGTTAAGAGGGACTGATATAGAAAAAACGATTGAATGAGATAAATTGATCAACTATCTAACAGAATTCATAAATGAAAGGAAATTACAATGGAAAAGATGAATATGAAGGTGCTCCAGCCTGTTTTCTCTATTGCTGCAAAATGGTAAACTAAGGACTATTTTTCATTATGATTCAACAATGCATCTAAATAAATTAGTGGGAAATATGATAAATAAGACAGATAAGTGGAATAGAGATAGCTACTAAACAGGCACATAATAAACTTGTGAACTTATCAAACCACATCTTATATAGCCCATACTAAAGGATTTGAAGGTATAAACAAAATAGAAGGGTCACATAATCAGCAGCACACTTAATATAAACACCTATCTAATCTGAATTGGAGGTTCAACTGAATGTTTTCCGCTGAATTAACTTAGAGGTTTAACAAATTCCCCTCACGTATATGGAATGTGGACCTTCTATACGTTTTTCCGTGGAAGTATCAGTCTTAATTCTTAAATGGGAAAAAACAGTTAACTTTTTAAACTATACTACCGAACTCCTAACTATATACATAAGTTCAGTCGATCAACGTCCCCCACTCCCCAACAATTCTTGAGTGGTTTCAACTTTTAACAATTGAGTTCGTTCTCTCCTGAACTACGTAAACCAACCAAAATACATTACAATGTAAATTTCCTGAGAAATGGAAAGGACCTGTTCCATGGCATTCTGAGCAGCGGTCATGAGCTTGGTGGCAATGCCGAGTTTGCGATGGGAACGAAGGACAGCGAGTGATGTGATATGTCCATGGCACTCGGAGGTCTCCTCTTCCATCTTGGACAGAACGTAGCCGACGATCTTTCCGTTGTAATCCTCCGCCACGTAGAGCAGCTGTGGCCAGGAGAGTATGTGGTAGAAGTAATACTTCATCTGGTAGTTCTCCGGCAAGCACAGAAGGTTACACTCTTGCATCGCCAGCAAGTCATCGACCGTCGCCTTACGTATGCACACCATCGTGAACCTTCTTCTTCCTGCCTGTTAGGGTTTGAGCAGTGGAAATGTGTACATCGATTTCTGCTCTCCAGTGAAATGCGAATTGACGGACGCCATGGTAGTCGAACAAACCCGACAGTGTGGGCTTTTTCAGAGCGGGCTCTTGTAGATAAGATCCAGCAATTATAACCCAGCCCAAAATGATCTAAATTGCTGTTGTGGGTGGGTGCTTGATGGGCCGCCACAACTTTGGAATGTCGGAAAGACGTGTGGAAATGAGAAAGAGACTCAAATGAGAAAGTAGGCATCAATTCAACAAAAACAATTGGTCGGTTGAGTTTTGATCTTGTTAAGAAATGCAAAATTAACTGTCAAATAGAATAATTTAAGACGGTTTCATTTTAAATATTTTATATAAAACTACCCACATAGCATCATTTTCTAAAAATAGAATGTAATGTCTAAAATTTCATATAGTATTTATTATTTGCAATTGAATAAAAAATCTTTCATGAATCACTGTCGCCGTTGGTCAACAGAAACAGATAGTGGCGTCGGATCACTGCAACTGGAGTGCTACCCCCTTTGCCGGATAGTCGCTATTGACAGGCTATCCTGATTGTGTTACGGAAATAAGGGGTAATCACTAATCAATCATATTGACGGTAGAATTGTAATTTCTATATTTTCATTCAATAGCAATTAAAGAGGAATTGATCAAACTAAGATCAAAATAGAGCATTCTTCCAAAAATTGGATCATATATTTTATTTTCTTCTAAACATGTTAAACATTATTACTTTTATACCTTCACAGTGGCCGGCGAAAGACAATCTATAAAAAGTTTGATTTAATTGGCGTACTCCAACCTTATTTGATCTAATTAAGTATCACAAATAAAACATTTTATTTCTGGCATTTTAAAATAATAGGTCTTGTGCTATTTAAAAACAACTAGTATTATACCCGTGCGATGCACGGGACAAATATTTTAATATAATTTATGATATAGTACGTATTGAAATATATCAATGTAAAATATATTCCGTATTATTTTTAAGAGTATTAGAATACTTGAATGAGTAAAACTGTTCCAGATAAATGTTCTCATATCACTTGCTATTTTAGACGTCACATTTCATGGTTTTCATATCTATTTGAATAAATACCGAAAACTAATACTTAAACATCACATATTAAAAAAATACACTTATAACTTCACAATTATCACTGATTAACTCATTATATTATATACATACTCACATTACTTTGAAATATACTCGAATTATCTTGCTTAATTATTCTCTAATTGTGTTTTTTTTGAATGATAATTTTAAATTGGAACAAAGGTATTACTACTTAGGATATAGGAAGCGCATTAAGAGCATTTAAGATATCATTTATGAAGAGCATTTACTACAAAGAATTCAAGGGAAGAGGGATCATTTTTTTGCTCAAATATTAATTTAAGCTGAGGTTAGCTTAAATGATATATATAAGATTTAGAAATATAAACATAATTAAAAAAGAATCCTAAACTTATTTAGTTTTCTCTCATATTTTTCAGAGTAAAACTAATCCCAAGTCTTAGTTCATTTCTGGGTTGCAAACAGAAGCCCATATTTCTCATTTGTTGATCCTTGTGTCTTTACTTCATTTCAGATAAAATCTAAAGCCGGTGACGTCTGTGCTTCATAGGTGCACTGACCGAGATGAGTATTCTTCTCATTTGTTTTAGTTTGAAAGCATTGCTTCTAAAATCCAACTCTGAACATTGTTTAGTCTTCATGCTTATTTTTAAAAACTTTGAAACATTTCAAGTCCATAACTATACCAAATTTTTCTTGCCAAATCATCCAATTTCGGGGACTCTTTTACAATAATGTTCAGAATTATATTTTTGAAGCGATATGTTCTGGTTTAAGATATAAAAGTTTATTTGTATTTGTAACAATAAAAGTTTCCCTTTCCATACCTGTTTTTAACCCTTTGCAATATTTTATCTATTAATATGTTAACGCATCCAATCACTTGCTTAATTTACCACTCCGTATAATTTACCATGCATATTTTGGAAACAATCTAAGTTTACTCATCTTTCTTCTAAATCAGTTGAAGTAGCACTACTAATAAAAAATCAATTGAAAACTAAGGAATTGATTTTTTTGACATACTTGGATTGCATTCATGGTGCCTCTAGATTACGCCCCATATAATTGTACACTGGACAGCCATATGAACTGTTTACTCCCAGTTGTTTTTCAATGTGTTAAGCCTGTATCTTTTTGAACAACATATCAGTAACTACAAACCACTATGCAACAAAAAGTGTTTTTTGTTAAATGACAGAAAATAATAACAGTAACACCTGTGAAATTGAGATTCTAATGAATTGCATATCCTAACCTTGGAATTGGAGATGATATTTCATTACATATACTCGAGCAATTTGCAAGTTTTGATCTGACCTCTGTTGAACTATGGACCGTGAAATGATTGTGATGCAAATACTTGTATTTTATGGTATTGGGAAGCAGTTCGTTTAATATTGATCTGTAATCTGTATGTGTGTAGGCGGTTTTAGACGGTTGAGCGGGAATGGCCAAGTGGTGAAACGTGGGCAACTTTTCTTACCTCCGAGAGACATGGAACTGGAATTTTACGTATTTTAATGTTTTAATTAATAAGTTGTCAGATTTTTGGACTTTCTATACCATTTGGGTTGCACGTGAGTTACATTATGTAAAAAGAATTCATTCAGGCGGGAACAGTTATTCCCAGCCGGTTGCATTGTTATATATATAAAGATACTTGGTACAATGTACACCATCACCAAATGGCCTACTCTTGAAACCGCGGACTGGACCTAGCGATTTATCTAGGATTGAAGGGGCTTGTGACGGTTTCGAATCTCGTTTGTAGGAGGTTTTTGGGTGCTAGAAATTAGCGGCCGATTTTGCTGGTTAGCGATTGAGGCAGGGGGTTGAAGGAGCGCTCGACGGTTGGATTTCGTTGTCGGCATTTTGGATGGATGAGAGGATGGCCGAGATCTGTTGGCGTGAAAGCAGATTGTAGCGGCAAGGAGACCCTGCGTTTTTGCCCAGGCTGTAGCAGGCACCGGTCAATTAGTTGGTGAGAAAGTAGTTTGTCTCAGGGGAGTGACTGAGAGAGGGGTGGAAGGGGCAGCGACCGTTGGTCTAGTTTGTCGGCGGTGTTGCAGGAGCGTCGAGTCTTGTTGGTGGAAAGCAGACCGCAGTGGTGTTGTGATTCATGAGGATAGAGGCAAGCTTAGAGAAGACTTCCGACAAATTGACCATCGAGAGCAGCGTTTCTTCGGTGTCGAATATGAAGACATAGCAAATAACATGATGTACAAGGAACATGGCGAGGAAGAAGATGAAGTAATGTCAATCAGCAGCTCTCCTGAACCGCCACCATGGAAGGACCGTGTGGCTAGGGATTGGAAGACGGCGTTTCATGTTTGTAGTTGGCAGACGAATTATTGGTCTATTTTTCTTTCTAACTTTATTTATTCTTCTTTAGACCTTTTAATTTTTTGGGTTTGCTTGTGTTTGTGGTTTTGTTGAGATGCTTATGACCGTCATTTGCCTTGAAGCTCTTGTATGTTCAGCGGAAAAGTCCACTCAATTTTGGGTGAACTTGTGTGTGTCTGGTCAGAGACCAGGGAGACATTTTAGCTATGCTAAGTTTGTTGAAGTGGTTAAGAGTACGATGACCTTAAGGGTCGGGATGAACTCTATGATGCTCATTTGGTGGTCAACGACTCGTGTTGCTTGTTTGGAGGCGATTGTCTAGAGTTTGGCTTTTCTTAAGTTTAGATGGAGTCTGATAGAAGATAGTTGGTGGATTTTGAGCTTTTGGCTAATTGTAATTGCAAACCATTGATTATTTAATATAGCTTGGCGTTTTCATTTCAAAACAAAGAAGTAAACCATTAAGCGTCGATAGATTGGGAAGAAGAAGCACCATTTTGAATACCAAAACCCATCATTTTGAATACCAAAACCTTCATATCTATGCTGGTAGTGTGATTAGGATGAGCGGGTAATTGGAAAGAGGAGGGCCGATTTGTAGTCATTCCCTCTTTGGCTAGGTTGAAGGTAACATCGCTCTTGAAGTTCTTGGTAATAGTATGACCCAACATGATTGCTCTTCTTTTGTTGTTGTGTTTGTTCTATTCTAAGTGGGTTTTCCGGACTTTGGTGCCCCGTTCTGTTTTGTCTCCCTCTATGTGGGGAGTTGCTTTGATTTTCCGGTCAACTTCGTCTGGTTTGGGGGTTTTCGTCAATTTTCTTTTATCTCAATCTGTTTCTACGTCTTTTCAAAATGAAGTAAGATAAAGAATCCAATGTTTACCTATATTGCAGTAGCCTGTCCTCCTCCGAAACCACCTCCGCACTTGGAAAAATTTTGTGGAAAGTCTTTTCTCCAGCATTATTTTTATTTAGCAGTAGCTGTTTTTATTTTAATTCAAGTAGGTTTGATTAGAATATTTCAATTATTGATGTACTTTTGATGGACAGTTTTTCAGTTTCATCCATTTTAGGCTTAAAATTGTCTATTTCGTGTATAACAAGTTAAGCTACTTTGTAAGAGAAGATTGATTATGTCTATTCTATTAGACTTCTGATTAGATGTGTTGTAATTGTCTTAAGATTGTCTTATATACTTTCTTCATATTGATACAAAAGTCGCTTTATTATTTTCATTAAAATAATAGATTCTATTTTAAGAAAGTGATATTATTTAATTCTTTTTTTGCATTATTTGAGTACATTTCCATAGTTATAATCTTGTCATATCTTATCATATAATTAAATTATTATCTGTATTGTGGTTTGGATGTAGTTTGTACGGCTTCCAACATCATACGGAGTATTGTTGATCCGTTTGAGATGGATAAGATGAGTTGACCGGGCTGACTATTTCCCCTGATTTTGAAACCCCTTTTGGCCTTTCCAGTTTCCACTGCCTGCCCTCGGTTTGGCGAATTCTATATTCCATATTCTTCCCACCAACTTGCTCCACCCAGGATATAAAAATCTCATTTCTTCTTTTCTGTAAGTACACTTTTCTTCACACATTTTTTTCGTAGCTTTTTCTTGGCACAAAAAAACTCTACATTTCTTCTAATCACATAGACTGGATATGGTAGTCTTGATACAAAAGCTAACCCATTTCCTAAAAATCCCCTCCAAGCCGGAGAAACGCCGGAGCTCATATACCGCCGTCGACCATCAGCCTTCTTTGACGGAATTCTGGTCCGGGGTTTCGAGTTTCTTGAACCAAATCCAATCAGACCACACAGAGGAGCCGCCGGAAACAGAGTTTTGGACTCTGGGAAGGGTTCAATCATTCCTGGAGGCGTTATCTTTGATTCACAAGTACTTTGAAAAGACGGCGGCGAGTGATCTAGCACAACCGGCAGGCGGCGGCGGCTGTTCTTGGGGCGAAGAAATCACAGAAGAGTATCTGAACTACAGCTTTGATCTTCTGGGGTTGTTGAATTGTGTTAGCTCTTCCCTTTCTCACTTGAATCAAGCTAGCGTATCCCTTTCCATTGGTCTTAGCCGTTCAGATGTTTCAGCAAAGCATCTCAGAAAAATTCAGCCTTTGGATCTCCAGGGAAACTTCAAAGTTTCAGGTAATAAAACACGGTTTCAATTGTGGCGGCAATTCTGTATAAATAAATTCTCTATTGGACTATTGGTAGAGACTAAGACAAGATTTTGTGACATATGTTTGACTTTAGTATAGTTAATCATTTGTTAAGTCCTCAAATGACCCAAGAGTATAATTTTTGTTTTGAAAACTAACAGGGATGAAGCAAGAAAGCGCCGATTACACCGATAAGAAAGAAAGAGTTATTCACGAGGCCATGAAGATCACAAAAGGCGTTTCTTTATGGATTTTGGGGGCAGTGTTATCAGCTCTGTGTAGTGATATAAGGCCGTATTTGGAATTGAGAAAATCAGCCCTTGAACCGTCTGGTCATGATGAGCCTTTACTGTTGGGGTTGGATTGTAGATTCAACCAGGAAGTCATGGAGAAGAAGCATTACGTGGTGAAGGAGGTGGAAGAGATAAATAAAGCAGTTGAAGCCATGCTCGCGGCGGCGGCGGCCGGAGAAGATGTTGCCGGTGAACTGGGAAAACAAATTCAGTTGTTTGAGGAGAGGCTGAATGGAATTAGTCAGCAGATTGATTATTTGTTTTTAGAAGTTTTGGCAGCAAGAAATAGAGTTGTTGATGGCCTTCGATTGACCGGCAATAACTAGCTTGATTTACATATACGGAAATACGGAATATATGTTTGTAACTTGATTTATGTACAAAATGTTTACGTCTAAATGAGTATCTTATAAAAGTGGTGGAGATGGAATATTAATTCATGATCTGTATGTTGACATTATTTTTTTCGAGCGAGCTCATGCCATTGAATTATTATGTTTCCACTTCGCTGTTATAAAGAAAAGTAGACTTCGAATTAGATGCTAGTAGGTGTGAATAAAGTGAATAAAGTTTTCAGATTTCTAGTTTGTAACTCATTTTAGCTAGATTATCGTAACTCATTTTAAGGGATTGGGGTCCTCTGCCGCACGGCAGGGTGCCTTGCGTGCAGAGGACCGTCGGATCATCGGATGGGAGAAGAGCGGCCTCGGATAAATGTAAATATGGTCTCTGTCTATTTTATAACTAGGGGTGAGCGCAGTTCGAAATGGTTTGATAAATTAGCAAAACTCGTAACGTACCTTTGAGGTTTTTAGCGGTTCGATACGGTCCAATTCTAAGGACGAAACCATTCACTATCATGACGTTTCAGAGCTGTACAAAACAATACGGTGCAATGTCAAACTAATGCTAATTTTTTTTAACAAAACTTGCAACTAGTAGATACAAGTATAATCTTTAGCAAAATGACGATACACAGATAAATATTATCTTTATTAAGTTCATGTTAAAATATACGGAGTAAAAAATATCACCAAACTGTTGAATATAATTGAAAAATTCAACAATCTTTTCCTTTGTTCTAGGTTGAATATTAAATATAATTTATAATTATACTGTGAGAGCAAAAATTTAAATCATATTAATTAAGTTGTAAAACTAGACAAGTATTATACAACTATAAGTCTAAAAATCGTACGATAGTATATACTACATTTCTGAAAATTAATACTTCCTTCGTCCCTAAATAAACTTCCAAATTTCTTTTTTCGTCTGTCTCAAATTAAACTTTCACTTTCCCTTTTTGGTAAAGATTTCGTGGTTCACAACATTTCTTACACATTTCTCTCTCATCTGCATAACTCTGCACCACACAATACTCACTATCTTAAATTGTGTGCCCAACCGTTTTGGAAGTTTTATTAGGGACGGAGGGAGTAGTCATGAATGATTTTTAAAGGGGGAATTTGACTTTGCACCTCACTTTTTGGGTGATATTGAACTTTGCACTCCATCTTAAAAAACATTTGACTTTGCAGTTTGCACCCTATCATTTAACATTTGTGAAGGAAAATTTCAAAATTGGGTGCAAAGTCAAAGGATTTTGAAGTGAAATGAGGTGCAAAATCAAAGTTTTTTCAAAATGAAGTGCAAAGTCCAATTTCATCCCAAATGTGGGGTGCAAAGTCAAATTCCCTCATTTTTAAACTTTAGCATTCTTTCAATATGTAACAAAATATAACATAAATAATTTAGAAGGAAAAACGAACGATATTTATATAAACACACATTAAGCTTTTTAGGGACACATGAATACAAATTTCGACTATAAAATTGTTGTTTTAAAAGAAAGGTTTTTTATATATATGGAAACAAATAAAAAATGTCAAATGCATTGTTTTTTAATGGCTTGACGCGATATTTTTCTGTTATGAAAATCTAGAACCAGTCTCTTACCAATTTCAAATGGTACAGCTTCGATTCGAGATAAAAATTTTATAGAACCATTTAAATATCATTTGATACCATTAGAGGGAGCGGTTTGGTCTTACACCCACCCCCATTTATAACTATGAAAATTGACTACACCAGTTCTAAATTCAAGATAGTACTAGAGAGGACGCAGACAGAGCACAGCATCAATTGCTTACACGTCATAGCGTATATTCATGCGCTTACTCTGTACGTGTCGAAACCTCAATTCTATTGCCGCCATGGCAATTAAAGAACCAGCTCCTTAAAAACCCAGAGTATTGCAGCAATCTAGCCGGCAACTATTCGGATCGATCACCGGAAGGCGGAAGATGCAGTTGCAAGAGGAGAACAGCGGCGGCGGGCAGAACACAAATAGTCAAGAGGAGAATCGAACCCGTGACGGAGAAGAAGAAAGATGTGATGAAGAAGAAGATGGCGGCGATCAGATTCCATCCATGGCGCTGAACCACGTGACGAGGCTGTGCAGGTGCGTGAAGGAGTCGGTGAAATTCTACACGAAGGTGCTGGGGCTGGTGGAGATGGAGCGGCCGCCGGCGTTCGACTTCGACGGCGCGTGGCTCTTCAACTACGGCGTCGGGGTTCATTTGGTGCAAGCCAAGGATAACAAAGATGGGCTTCCCAATCATCGGACAGATCAAAATCAGCTTGATCCCATGGATAACCACATCTCTTTCCAAGTATGTTTATAAATTCATCCCCTCTTTGTACACAATTTTACTGTTTACAACTTTGTACATGTATTTGTGACATTTTTTGCAACATTTTTTTTGTCTTTCATAGACAAAAAAAGTTGCCCTCACAAAAAACAGTCCTCACAAACACGGGTAAAAACGTGTAAACAGTAAAATCGTGTACAACAAGAATTTCTCTTATTAATTTATACTATACCCCTTTATGTCAAATTGATTTTTCTTGATTGATCGACTTTTATTAATCATATTTGTTAATATGAAATTCGTATAAAAATTATATTAATTTTTTCTTTATTCAAAATACTTTTCATAGAAATATAAAAATTATAAATATAAATATAATAGCAGGTTTTTTAATTTATAGAATTCTAGAAAAATGTTATATTTTGAATAAATATAAATATAATGTCCGAACAATTTAAGAATGTCAAACTAAAAAAAATCAGTCATGTTGGTTTTTTGTTTGGCTGCTTACTTTGACGGTGGTGCAGTGTGACGACATGGAGGCGGTGGAGAGGCGGTTGAAGGAGCATAAAGTAGAATACAAGAAGAGAACGGTGGGGGAAGGAGGAGCCGCCTCCATCGACCAGTTGTTCTTCAAGGACCCGGACGGATTCATGATTGAGATCTGTAACTGTGAGAATATCACTCTCGTTCCCCAAACATCTCCGGACAAGATCAAGCTCCCCTCCAATCGTCACAATCCACCTCTCTCCAAAAAATGATTTTTAGTTCTCATCCTTGGTTAGGTGTTTCTTGTTTGCATCCTTTTTATATTAAGATGTAAATTTACGTTATTTACGTATTAGCACGATGACAAATCAACGCTTTTTTGCCGGCTTTTTTTAATATAGAGCAAACATGCAAGATAATATTTAAACTACAAAAAAACACGTCTGTAGTCACGGACGTTAGTCACGAATTTTGTCCGTGACTAAGTCCGTGACTAAAAAACCATCACACCACTTCATTCTCAGTATATATAATACAGTATCTGTTTGAAAGATCGAGGAATGTAGTCCATCTTATGTCATTTCCCCTGTTTATGCTGATAAGATATGTTATTTGAATTATTTTTATTTAGAATTAGTTAATTCAATTTAAATTACTGAGATTGTTAATTAATTAATTAACAGTATATTTAACTATAAACGTAGTGATGTCATAAAATTAGGTAAATTTTTAGGGTCTATAAAATAATTTAATCAAAATTAGTTAGCTAAGCGTAGGTTTAAAGTCCCTGATGCATTAAGTTAAGTTAAGTAAAATTAGTTAGATAAACGTAGGGTTTAAATAATTAACTTAAATTAATTATTTAAGTTAGTGTAACTTTTGATTATATTAGTTAAATTTAAATATTAGTTAATTGAATTGTGTAAAAAAAAAGGTTGGTAATTAATTAACGAAATGAATTAGTTAAAATTAGTTAAACATAGGATTAATTTTCAGTGTAGCTTTTGATAATATTATATTTTCACCCGTGCTTCGCACGGATGCAGTTAGTAAGTAATAAATAATCTGAGAATATAACGAAATGTTGTTGAAAATATAGATCAACGTATATATTGTTTTTAACAAATGTAAATGAAGATTTTAAAAAATTACAAATTATTATATACTTCCTTGTAAACCACATTTATAGTCTTCTTGGCCGGTTTTCCATCATCATCACATATAACAAACTTCAATCCAGATGGAGACGTCACTCTTGAGACCGCGACATAAAGTTGTCCATGGGTGAAAACCGGACGACGTAAGAAAACACCAACCCTCTCTAAAGACTGCCCCTGACTCTTATTAATGGTCATCGCGTAACTAAGCATTAAAGGGAACTGTCTACGCTGAAATGTGAGCGGTAGCTTTAGGTCGGATGGAGTCAAGCTAAGCTTCGGAATGAGAAATTTTTGTCCTGCATTTGTTCCAGACATCATCTGAGCCTCGAGAATATGAGTTCCAAGTTTAGTGACGATGAGGCGTGTGCCATTACACAATCCGGAGGATGATCTATATTCCTCATTAGCATCACAGGTGCACCCACTTTCAGCTTCAGTTCATGGCTTGGTACACCAGAGCATTTAATGGTATTCAGAAATTCTGGAGAGTGGATCTCTTGAAGGAGTGCACTGTCTGAGTCAGAAGATGCTGAATCTGAGCTTAAGTATGTCTTTACCTCTCCTAGAGTCAATCCCAACATGTAATCGTTGATCATGTCACGTTCATCAATAGTTGGCGCAAGAATTGCCCTGGAATTCAAATAAGAAACATCATTACAGTGCATTTCAAAATCGGGATAGGTGATCTTAACAATAGCTTCAATTGGATCATCCGCCATAGGAGCAATAAATTCTTCAGGGATGTCAACCATGGATTCTCCATCATCTCCGTCCCCCAGGACTCCATCTCCAATCTTCAATATCCACTCGGCAAAGTTTTGAATCTCTAATGTGTAAGATGTTCCTCCCACGCGCCCGAGTCTCATATTCTTTGTCAACTTCAACACCCTACAGTATGACCACAAAAATGATGAATTCATAGCTGCTTGCACAATGTTTTGTCTTGTGCCCTTTGGAATGACAGGCAATATTTGTCTGAAGTCCCCGCCAAATACGACTGTCTTCCCACCAAAGGGCATGGTAGAATCACAATCATGCGAGTAGCGAAGGACATCTCTCATGCTACGATCAAGTGCTTCAAAGCAATACCTGCAGTTCATTTTACAACTAATTAAGGGAGTGTTTGCAACAGCTTCTGCTTAAAAAAAGCACTTTTGGAGATGAAATGAAAAAGTGATTAGTCGTAAAAGTTGATAGTGTTTGAGAAAAAAGTGATTTTAAAAAGTAAAAGTTGGTTGTGTTTGGTAAAATAAGTGCTTTTGGTGTATAAAAAGGGGAAAAGCACTTTTGACACGAAAGCCGAGAAAAGTAAAAAATTGGTAGTGTTTGGTAAATAAGTGCTTTTTTAAGCCAAAAGTTGAGAAGTGCTTTTTTTAAAGTTGTTGCAAACCAACCTTAAATCATTTTGAATATGATGTAATTTGTGCATTAATTATTAATCAAACATGTACCTGTGTGTCATCGGCGATTCATCCCAAATGATCAACCGTGTACGTTCGATGAGCCTCGCCAATGGGCTTCCATGCTTTATGTGGCATGTTGAATCTTCTGTTGCATCCAGTGGAATGGCGAATCTGGAATGTGCGGTCCTTCCTCCCGGTAGAAGCAGCGATGCAATACCGCTAGATGCCACATTGAGTACTATTTGCCCCTTGGACCTGAGCGCCACTGAAATACTGTTTTTAATTTTGAAACTAAAAACAGTATTTCAAATGAGTAAAAATAAATTATTCCAACTTCTTATTGTAGATATCATCAGATGAAATTAACATTATGTACTACCTCCGTTCTTAAATAAATGCCACATGTTGAATTTTACACTATTCACATGTTCTACTTTGACTACGTTTTATATATTAATGTATTTGTATATTTTTTTGAAAAAATATTGTTAAATTTGTGTAATCGTGAATTTTCAAAATCTAATTATTTAATTTTTTTTAGTAATAGAGAATTATTATTATAGTCAAAGTTGACTCGGCAAAAGTGAAATGTTGACCGTTACATTTATTTAAGAACGGAGGAAGTATAAGTTTAATCATATAAAGCTTGTCATTATAAATAATAAGTTGGTATGGAACCAACTTATTATTTATTTATAAAATTCTGAAATTTTGAAGTTATCAATAGTATAACTAAATGGGTAAAATTATTTAATCAATCGATTTACCTGACAGCTTTAAGTCTATTTGAAGTTTCTTCACTTGGATCACATAAATACATCTGCAAAAATTTGGGTTGACCACCGTCCCTTGGAAGAAGGCTACCAATTCTATGGTAGTTTTGTCCATTTATTCGAAATATTGGTGGCGTTTTCACTTGATTGATGTCTTTGTCTTGTTTTCCTCCCATAGAAGTGAATGCAAACATTGCATTATATGACCGGATGTTTTCGAGAAAATGACGGCTACGCTCGTCAGAACCAAATATCAAACTTTTTAAAGGTTCGGGTGGCTCTTTCATTGCAGGCAGCACGACATCTCCTTGATTACAACACAGGGAGAATCTTGGTGGTTTTCCTGCAAGACTTTTCTTTACTCTTTCTTCGTACCAAAACAAAGCACCACAAAATTCACACTCATAAGATGAGTCCCCAAGATCTGCATAGGCTGAAAAGATTGGAATATAAATTACTGCACATAAGTCGCAAACCTAGTCATGTGGTTGTTTAAGGATTCAATTGTTTGACTCTTTAGTAATATGTTGTATTGCACATATAGTATAAATATTTTGTTGGAAAATATATGTATACACGTTTAAACTTGCATAATATCTTCACTTAAACAACTCGCATATTCAGCATCTTCTGTATGTCAAGATCATGAAAAAACGGCATTTTCATTATGTGAAAATACACACACACACATATGGTGTGTGCGCGCGCGCAAATGCTATTTATTGAGAGTGTAAGGCTTATATTGGTTTATGCATGTAATGTACAATTAAATTTAATGTTGAATTACGAACCATGGAATACAGGTTGTTCATGTGAGGAGGCACCGATAACATCGTTTTGATCGTCCTTTTGGTTGGCTTCTATACAGTTTAGAATTCACAAAATTATTATGCATTTGATTAACATCTATCAATGATGTTTTAATTTACTTAGATCTTAGGAAAATAAGTTAAGAAAAAAAATCTAACCTTCATTAGTAGCATCACCATTAAAATCCTCCGTGTGATTGTTGTTACTTTCTAGGGGTCCATCTTGTGACCGAGTAATGCATGTCCCCATAACCGTGTCATCAGTCGGCACTATCATATTGCCGATTTGCCATTTATTGTGAGCTATTGGTATTATACGTGTAACACTTTCACATACAATGCTCTCCTTCTGTTGGACTATTGAACAAAACAATATGATTCAATACATGATTCTTATAATAAAAGAACACATGGATTGAGGTATTCTACATAATTACCGTTGGTGAGTTGAGTGTCTAGATTTTCTCCAACGTTTGTTCCTTCTTGAAGAGGATGGTCATTACTGTTCAACGACGGACTTGCAGATTGAAATGCATCTCGTGATCGTTTACCACGATCACCCAATATAGTAGTTGACTTAGTCAACTTCTTCATCTGCTTTATTAATGTCAACATTAATTCAAAAGTCTTTAGTTTTTTTTCATTTTCATATTTAAGAATATAAAACAGAATTTTTATAACAATTAGGAGTAGTGAATTAAAAATAAAAAGTAAAAGAATTAGACATAGATGCACATTAATGTAAGAAAATATGTTGAAAGGTTTGATTTTACACAAATTGATAATTTTTATCATACAAAATAAAAATTGTAAACTGTAATTAAAAATGAAATAATCTTTGTTTTCTTCTTTTTTGAGTTTGAAAATATAAAGTATATTATTTGTCACTATCAGGCACCACGGGTTTTAAATCAATAAGACAAAGAATCGGAGTTAGAAGTATAAAATCTCTATTTTGAAACAATGACCAATTATTCTAAAATATATTCCTAATGTATTCAGAGTAGTTGTTTCCCACCCTTCTATCGGTATAAGTCCGAAACTATAAGTATACAATATTATATTCCTAAAGTATAATTGATATTAAATCACTTAAATAATTTCCGATTATATTGTTATCTATATACATTCACTTTTCAGATTTTATGTAAAAAAAAAGTACTATGCATTATTTATCAGTCTACTTATTCTTAAAGTTAATTTCTAAAATTTCTGGTTCTAGTTATTTCAAATCCTATATATGCACGTATATCAGTCTACTACAACAATTATATCTAATTTATATTTCTAAAGTATAATTAAATTTACACTCCGTTTGTAATATATGAATATAAGAACATAACAGATAAGAAATGAGAAGGTCTAACCTCAGATCTACTATGAAGAACTTTGAAGAAGAGAATGCATATTAGATATCACCAATATCTTGAAGTTATGAAATACTCCGTACGTATACTTTTTGTGATAATATAGAATCAGGCTGTTTATAAGTTGAGAATAAGTAAATTTGTGAGTTTTAAATAGATGATTAGTGATAATACATGCACGTATGTAGTTTTCACATGGGTGTAGTCATAGAAGTTGAAGTGTAATTCCTATTATGAATAATATATCAAGTACTGTAGGGGAATAAGGGGATAAGGTCTTACTACGTATAGTATAAGCCAGGGAATGGAACAAAAGAAAAATCTTTATTTTCCAAAAGAAAGAAATATCTCGTAGTTAGAAACTTAGTACGGAGTACTATTCAATTTTATGAAATCTCCATTGCTAATCATATCATATACGAAGTATATACATAAATAACAATTTTTTATTCAATAAATAACAATTTTATTATGTACATGAATAACAATTTTATGTATATAAACTCATTATGATTAGGGAGTAAAATTTATATATTCCTGAGGCTAAGCTAAAAATCATACAGAGTATCAAAAAAGAGTAACAAATTTATATACGGAGTAAAACAGTCGTATTAGAGATTAAAAAAATAAGTTTTGTAAACCTGAAATTCAGAGTTGGGAGTAGTATATGTTCTGCAGCATACATGCTCAACGGGGAGTGTTTGAAGTCGGTCATGAAACTGGTAGACCGTGAATTGGAATCATACGTATGTTTGCCGCGGATTGAATTGATAACTGTATTACTCACCGTTGCTGTACATACTTCCTGTATTACATACTTCCTGCACGTACATATGTCTCACATTATGTATTAAAAAGCTTTGTAACCGGAAAACATTCATAATCTATTCATATATAATTTTTTTAATAAGGCAAACTATAATTCACCTGTGCTTGAGGAATCTGGAATGGCAGGGAAGCGGTGAAGAAGAGGAATTGTCGGCCAGAGGAGAACCGCCGGTATGAAGCAAGGAGAGCACTTGAGGCTGCCGAAGCAGTTTGAACCAACTGAGCGAAGCTGTATTTTATTTTGGCCGTGCAATGAAGTTCAATTGGCCGTATCTTTGTTGCTTTTGATTATTGTTTGTTGGAGGACTTCTGATTGACTTAAAATTGCAAAACATCCTGTCAATAGATTAAGTCCAACATTCTAGGTAGAATATTTAAGCTCTTATCACGTATCTTTATTACGAAATATTATTGAAGTGACGTGGCTCAAACATTGTTTACTTCTAACGTATAATGTGGCTTTAACATTTGGAGTTCCTTAAATTCTGGTTAGAGAATGCAGGGGGATAAGTATTCTTAGCATGCGGTGCTTTTCTTTTAAAATATTTGTATTCTCTAGGTAAAATCCAAAGTCAGTATGGGTGCACTCATGATATACGGAGTACGAAGTATAATATTGTGTATTCTCTAGCTTAGGAGTATTATTATGAATAACAAACACGTACATCCCATTTTTAGAAGTACAAAATGCTTGAAACTCTAATTCTAATTATTGCTTTTTAAGTATTTTCATTAGATAATATCATCTACTCCTAGGCCAGTAAAATAACGTATACAATTGATTTACAACTGTTTTACTAAACATTAATTACTATTACTCTTTCAATCAATTTTAGTATTATATCTATTAGAAGTATTATTCATATCAATATATACGAACACATTGAAATAAACATAACAACTGAAAGTATATGTTTTTTATACTCTCAATGTCTCATCATAATTATTATTTTATGATAGGATAAAATAAATTTTGCTGATATATTACTCCGGAACAAATCATCCTACTAGCTCAGTGAAGAACAAATTAAATTAAAGAAGCGCGATAAAAAATTATTACTGGAAAGATGAATAAACTTCTAAAAAATATTAAAGAAATTTTGTATTATCTTAGTCACTCTAATATCACGTTGCTTGTTGCCCACATGTACCTCCATATGCGATTGACGAGTTCATGTTTCAAATCCATGTGCATCCTATTGTCTTGAACTTCTTTCATTCTTCCAATCATCCTAGAAATGATAAAGTTGTAATCCTGTTCCAATTTCGCATTTTCAACTCTTTTCATCTCCATGAAATTGTCAATTTTCAAGATTCATTCTTTAACTACATTCACTCTCGATAATCATATTACGCAAGATGATACAAGTCATCATTATCTCCTCCAAATCTGTTTGCTTCCACATATGTGTCAGACCTTTGACAATGTGCCACCTGCTTTGCAAAACTCCAAATGCAAGCTTCACATCCTTCATCGTAGCTTTGTGGCACACAGAAAATATTTTCTCTTTAAGAGAAGAAGGCCAAGGGACAGGCTACATTAATATTTGTACAACCTTATAATTTAGTGTATTTGTACGTATTCTTAGAAAACAAAGTTGTAAAATCTTAGTTAGTTTACATGTCCATTTCGACGTGAACAGTTGACATAACATAATTATTTTTTCGCTTTTAATATAACTTATTGGTATTTACTAAACACTCTTCTCAATAATGGTATTTACTTAAGTGTTTCAATATTTATAATGGGGGCTTGTAAAGTATCGAACTACATATATAGCACATTGTTGATTCGGATAATAACACACCTACCATCTCACACTATGTCCACCCTTAATAATAACAACATTAAGTATTTTTCTTTTGGCAAATTACTTTCTTGTATTTTTATTATCTCCATTAAAAGTGTATTATATTTTTATATATGTAACAATGGGACTGTCTGGCCCCAATTGTTCCCGCCTATAATATATTATCATCAGTTGCACATTAACTGGCTCACTACACGTGCACACTTAGGTTCTACATGCCACATATTTTCCACATATTTTAACTTCCCATCTGGCAGCTCCACTTTCCACCCACGTATAACATCGGTCCAACAAAAACATTATATATACAAGTTACTCTAAGTTTTAACCTACTTTTTTCTCCGTTCTACCATTCCACAAATGTGCAGGTGAAACCTCTATCATTAGGTTGTGTCCTTTCTTTAGT